AAAAAAAAAAAAGAGAGAGAGAAATAAGTATTGGTGCATAAACTTAAGTTTTGAGAAGCAGAGTGTAATGTGCTTCTTCTTGCTCCATCTCCTAATATGGATTTTTTGGGTTCAGGCCAAAGTAAATTGGCCTTTTTTAATGCAAAGCTTCTCAAGACCATTTTTTAAGAATATAAAATTAATTTTATTAACTTCCATAAAGGTCTTTACAACAAAATGACAGTATGTGTTGTGCAGGCAGATAGTTATCCATTTTGTCTTCCATTAAGATGGAATAAGTAACAAAATTAGGGAAGATACCAAAGTATGAATGTCTATATAGGCTGGCAGTCAAAGAATGAGCTAAGGGTCATTGGATAACTAACTTGTAGGCTGGTCTCTTGTCCCTGTCTTTAATGCTAGGGTGTAACCTGTGCTATTTAATTCAAAATCAACAGGGGAGGCCTTATATAGTCTTTGTTCTGGGAACAGCATCAACAAGGGAAGAATTCCCATGAGTTATGGATCTATGAGGCTGATGTAATAGGTCTATTTAGCAAGTTTGTAACAACCTTGCGTCTTTTCTGAAGTATCATGCTGTGCACATTCTGACGCTTAGAAATCAATCCATGACCATTAGTGACAGGGCTAACAGTCAGGAGGGTCTAATCCTTCCTCTGAAGGGGTCTCAGCGTGTGAGGATCTGAGCTAGGCTTGTCACAGAGGCTTGAATGGAAAGTGAATAAGGACTTGAGGGAATATAGCTAGGAAAATATTAAGATGGATAAACTTATCAGATTCATCAGTCTTAAGGTAGACATACTCAGTGTTTGAAGGAGAAGTATTTTAGTATTCATGTGAAATTATGAGAAATCACAATTGTGATGTTTTGTCTGCCAATAAAATCGAACGGTATCATTAGCTTTGTTTCCATTACATATATTCAAGCAAAGGGGAAATGAAAATGGTTACATGGTGTTATTGAAAATAAGCAGTTTTTTTCTTTGGTGGTAACCCTGTAAAGAAGAAAATATATTAATTATGTGACAGGTGGATAATAAAAATAAAAAATCCTTAAACAGTAGAAGAGCATCAAAATGAGCATACTACTCCATCCATAAGTAACATATCCAAATTCGCATATGGTAAATATTTTTCACTTAAACAAGCAGTTTCTGGATTTCATTGTAAGACTTGAGACAATTCCAAATTGCCTATTGACAAGCTGTAGTAACTGTGTACAAACAAGAGATGAAAGATTTTAGCTTGTCATTCATGATATATTCTGAAAACACACCATGAATCATTCACAACAAGCAAGCCCTGTGCTGACTTAAGCAATAACAGAAATCTAGCCTGAATTTTCATGAAAGAATGAAAAATGTGCATAGGACTTTTATGTTTGGCACTGGTTAATGACTCCAAAAATCTCAAAGATTAAGGATTGATTCCTTGCAACATGGAATCACTAGGGGACACTGAAATGTGTTTTTGTTTTTGTTTCTGAAAGGGAGAAAAATGGGTCTCGGGATAGGTCATTTGTTTTGTAAAGTGTAAGAAACAATGAAAAAGTTGGATGAACTTTGGATCTCAATATCTAAAATTAAATGCAACTATTTGTATGCAATTTCAGAAATAACTAACAATTAAAGTTAAATCACAGCAACAGTTCTGACAAAACAGAATAAATGAGATGATAAATCTGTGAGATGATGAGGTGGGTACACAAGAATAGAAGCAGGTTGTAGGTCTGCATCTTAACCAGTTCCAGTCTGGCAGTCCTCGACTGTGCTACTTATGATCTTCTAGACAGCACATGTGAGGTGAAGCACTTTAAATGTACTTACTGGGGATTAGGAAAAAAAGAAAAAGGGGGTCATGCTCTATTAAAGCCATTATCTCAAATCTTGAAGTACTTTTTTTTTTTTTCCTTTTCCTAAAATTGACATTTTAATTCAGAAGCAATCATCTACATAGGTTACAGTAATTATGTTGATTGTCATTAACCATGCAGTACCAAATCCTGTTTATCAATGAAATGCACTGGTGCAGGCCTTTGAGGATCTAGATAGCTGTGTATATTTTGGGTTAATGGTAGAGACTAGTGCTTAGGAAGGCAGGTGCAGATACAATGCAAGACTACCTTGTTCACTCATTGAAGACTTTGCTGACAAACATAATAATGTTAAATTCAAGACAGACATTTTTAATGGAGATCTGAAAAAGAAAAACTTTTTTTTTCTAAAAAACCCTCAGAATATTTCATCTGGAAAGTTATCAATTTGCAACCTTCTTTTTTACTACAAAAGAACAGTTGTTTTGTAAAAGATGGGTCTGTTAGCTTTGGAAATACCTGGATTTAATGTTTATACTGTCCTTTTCATTTTTAATACTTTCAGCTTGACTTTTACTACATATAGAGAAGAGAACATTAATAAAATGGATGAAATTCCAAACAAATGATGTCTGCTATGGATATAATAATATACATGAGGACCAATTTCGCGTAAATATCACGAAAGTTGTCATGTGGGCAGTTGTCATACGGCTCTGGAAGGTACTTGGGAAGAGCCAAAGTAAGGTGCCTATGGATTTTTTTTTTACCTGCAGATTGCAGGATTTTATCATCCTAGCTAATTGGAACAAGATTAACTCAAAGTCTAGAGCATCTCTACTATTTCAGAGGCACCAAATGATCACAAAGACCTTGGGAAAGCCAGTAAGAAGCCGAGTCACTTTCTTCATGGAAAGGTACGAAAGGGGCAAATAGTTGCAGCCTGAGTACATGGAGTCAAACAGGAGATCAGAAAGTAAGTCTGTTCTTTGAAAACTAGTTTGTAAAGTGACAGCTCGCCATGGAAGCTTACTATGACTATATATGACTATATATGACTTACTATGCAACCCATTAAACCTCTCAAGTTATTTCCTCAATGGAATATCACCAGCTGCACCACAGTTGTCACTGCCCACCACAGGGAAAGGTTTTGCCCTGAGCTACCAAACAAGGGTAGTAGGTAAGCAGAAGATCGTGCTCCTCCTTTGAACTAATTCTTCTTACAATCTGTCCTAGAAAATGTAATTAAGTGCCCCATCATTTAGGGAACAAATTTAGATGTAACTGAGGTTCTAATAATTGTGTGAATCCACCATGCATTGCATACGGAGCTTGTGTGAGTCATGACACAGCTGGCACATTACACTGCTAATGGTGCCCTGCTTCCAGGGCAATGTCTAATATCCCTGAGATGGCAAGAGCTGCAAAAAATAAAAAGTGAAAGGGTAACTCAGAGATATCAAAGATATCTATATGATTCATTAAAAATATTTGTTTTGATTACAGAAATGCTTAAAAGAACCCAGAAGTGCAAGCTACATAACTTAGTTTATGACAAAAAAAAAAAAAAAATCAAGCTGCTCTCATGCACTGCACATGGGTGAGTCCACATAAGGCTTCTGAAGTAGCAGCCACAGCCAAAAAGAAAGCACAGAACATAGGGAAAAATCAGAGGGACTTCACAGCTGATCTTACAGTCCAGGTGATACCATCCTCAAGATCTGAGATTCCAAAATCTCGATCAAAGGAAATCAGGAAAAAAAAAAGAAAAGATTTCTCACTCTTTTATGCTGACGTTTAATACGAGGATCAGAGAGCAGGATTTGGCTATTGAGGTATTGAGGTGGTATTAAAATTGAGAAACACAGATATTTGGTATCCCATCAGAATTTATTTTATTCATGTTATTTTACATCAAATGAACTGTCAAGATTAGAATGACTAAAAAAGTAAAATAAAGGGGATGGAGAGGAGAGAACACAGGGATGAATAAATGTTGCAGAGGGCAAAAGACAAAGCATCCAAGAAGGAAGAGAATAAAGCAGCTTTAAAGCTTTTAAAGCAGCATCTGCAACATCAAACTATTGCTCTGCTGCAGTTTGCATTATATTTTGCTGCCACGACAAACCTTTTTCAGGCATGAAGCACAGTATAGCCACAACAAGAGGGAGCCCCTGCCAAGACAGGTAGAGGAGGACCACCACTTCCAGCAGCAGTGGCAGGAGGTCTGCTGACCACCTTCAGGGCCTGGGGACTATCGAGCCCACCCCTGCAGAATGGCTCACTGGTCTCTTCACACAGCCTGCACGAAGCACACGGGTTCACACAGGGATCCTGGCTATGCTGGAATGCTGGTGCTCAAAGGGCCTATGAGGGTCCCTCAGTAAGTGGGCTGCTACCCAGCCAAACACTCTTCAGCCCCACAGGAGATCGGGACCTCTACTAAAAGCAGAAGTGGGGATGTGGCGTTGAGGGCCAGGACTGCCTCAGGAAAGCATATGTACCCTGGCAGGAAAAGGGGCCAACATGCCCCTATCAGGAGACATCCAGGATGCGGAAGGTGTGGGTGTCATGACCACAGCAGGTGTAACCACTCGTTATTGCCCAGATCTTTTTTCCATAGTCAGTCACAAGAGTCTGGAAAACACTAGAGTGAAACCTCTTTTTTAATATGATTCTAAGAACCATAGCAGTCAATGTGGAGATGGGAATGCACTGATTGTCCCTTTACAGGGAGGAACCCTTTCTATTCTGGTATGCATTTTATCACAGGTGAAGGATCTGTAGGAGGGCTTCTAGAGGCTTCACTGCTTAAGGGCCTCCTCATGCAAGTTGACTCCAAAACTGCTATCCACCATAAGACTGGGTATTTGCACGGCTCCAAGCAGGGGACCTCTTGTAGGGCCTGGGCTGGTAACACACTGATTCTGGAGAGCAGCTCCAGTTCCTGACACAATGACTTGAATGTGGTTCTTTGTAATCTCCTGGTATCTCCAGCTGTTAAACACTGTAGTCTCACCTGCTGTGGCTAGTGCCCTAGTCCCAAAACCCTCTCTTGACATGGGAGCCTGAGCTCTGCCGTAAATCCAAAGGACGGGAGTGGAACATAAGATCTCATGAATTCCCTGTTAATGATGTTATCAGCTCTATCCATCCCCCGGATTGCTTTGTGTCCAACACTTGCCTATCTGGCGCCACCTCAAAGGATGAGGATGCTCTGTGGCAGGTCTCAAGACCATCACTACTGAGGCACGGCATGAACTGTAGCAGCATCAGCGTATTGCGGGGGGCTGAACAGTCGCTGACCTGGGCGTTCAGCCTGCTCCCGTGAGCGTGCCGGTCTGAGCGCATGACGTGTGCAAGGCAGGCAAGGCACCGATGCAGCGTGCGTTAAAGAGGCCCAGACAGAGTAAGTGCCTAGGGGTGCTGGAATGATAGTGGTGGTGGTGGTGGGCAATTCCAGCTAGCACAAATGATGCAGGTTTCAAACCCTGTGTTTGAAGCGTATGGAGAGAAGCCAGTCCACATCACCTCACTCCAGATTAAGGCTTGCTCCCTGGCGTGGGTAGCAGAGACAATTTTGGTAAGAGTCTAACAGCCAGGCATCCTGCAGTGTTTTATTATCCCATCCCACTGCCCTGTTAGTTTACTGTGCTAAATCAGCACCACTAGCAGCTTTGTGTCATTCACCCGCTAAGAGCTGCTTTCCTAGGTGCTGAGTCAGGAAAGAAAGCAGGAGGGAGCAGGGCAAAGAAACAGGGGAACAGGAGAAGAACAAAAGATGCAGAGGTTTAAACCAATCCAGTTAACAGTTTAAGAAAAGAGAATGGTGTCTGTAATTGGGAGAGCACTGTTTTTCTTCCACCAGCTTTCGGACATATTTTAACATTCACTGCTTTTGGTTGCAGTGATAGCTTTGACTGCATGCCTCTTTTAAGGAACCTGACTGAGTTTATAGATTGGTTTTCCTGAAGCGCACAGCACTGTCGGGCTCCTCCTGACATCTCTCTCTTGAGCTTTTCTCCCTTATTCACCGTCCACCCTTGCCTTTTCCTTCCTGTTATGTCACTAGGAGTCACGCATAGAACTCAGCGGATAGCTGGAGTCGGCTTTTGCAGCCTGCTGGACTTCTCAGCCACAGAAAGCTTTTCTTGGCTTTTATCCACTTGAGAAAGTTCTTCAGTTGATACTATACCACTTTTGGAAAGAACAACAACATTCTGAAAATTACTTGCAAAAAGAAACTTGACAGCCCAACTCCTTAGTGAAAATCCTCCATACCTTGTTCCCCTTAATCTTCACATTCTTTCCTGGCTCTGAGCTTGTTTAAAAAGAACACCTGTTTACTCCATCTTGATCTGCCTTTCTAGCATCCTAGATACTGACTTCATGGAGATTTCCAGAAAGACATAAGCAGTGATTAAGTTAATCCACGGTCTCGGTTTTAAACCCAACTAAGCTCTTTCCTGTTTGAGGGGTATCTTCCCTGGGGTCTCACATCAAAGCTAATCCTGTAGGTAGCTTCTCTTTCCTGCCTCAGGGGCTCATGTAGTTTATGCTAAGGAGCAGGCCAGAACAGCCTCGCGCTGTGAGTACGAGTACTTTCTAGCTTGCTGCAGACGGTTCCTGCCTCATCCTCTGCTCGTTGGCCCTTTTCCGAAAGCGGCCTTTTCCAGAAAATTAGAGCCACCTTTCTTGCACTGTTGCTGTGGCCTGAAGGATGCAGCGGAAATGTGACACTGATACATTCTCCAGTGAAAGTAAGTGCCTATATGAGCTATATTTAAAGCTTGTTTTTAGTTTACTGAATTATCAGATTATGTTTAACAGCAACAGTGATATTTGTGGTAGACAGTAGGTTTTTGAGCAGCTACTGCTATAGCAGAATAATTTGCATATGATGCTGCGTAAATGACTGTGAAGTCTAAATCCACTTCTTCACCTGCTAAGGCAGAGCATCAAGACTAAAAAGACTGACTGTTAAGAAAACAGGGTCATTGACTATCTTTAGAAATATTCAGGAGGCTCAGGAATCACTTCAAGTAATGCAACATCTTTGCCAGGTTTAGCCACCTTATGTTTTATTAATGATTATTCCTTCACCAGTTTCTCTGTCTTTTCTTTCTGTGTTGTATTAATACAATTAATTAATATAATTTCTCTCCTTTTATTGATGTTTATCCCAGGCTTACTCCTTTAGGAAGAAGGGGTGGCCATGAGGTTTTTAACAAATATGATCATCTGGCATATGATAATCAATAAATTTACCTCTGTGAGCTGTTCCCTGTGAGATTTCTACAGTGCTAAGGCTGTCCTGTCTACCATGTGCTTTGCTTATAAAATAGGCCAAAATCTATCATGAATAAACCCAACCAATCCATCTACTAAACAGCTAATCAATGGTGAAAAGTTCTGAAAGTGCAAAGTCAAAATTGCCTAAGTACCATTCCAGAAATTCAAGAAAGTCAAGCTCAAAAGTTTAGAAAACCAAGAATTAAAGAACTAAATGTGAAGCCCTAAACCTGATAACTCATTCCCCTACTTCAACCTAAGAGGAGAATATGGAATACTAGAAAAATACAAAGCCATAATTCTTTATACAATTACATCTATAAACTGTACTAATTCCTTTCAAACAACAGCATCGCACTGTCATAAAACCAATTTAATGTTGGTTGGTTTGGATAAATATCCTCCAGTAACCGCAATTTTTTGAGTAAATTTGCAATTCAACTTCCTTTACATCATATCTTCACTAGAAAAATACCACCAAGTTTTGCTCTTTGTTGAGTGCAAATCTCTGTATATTTTACTTGTTAAATTGTAAATTGGCCTGGCTGAGTCACAGCTTGTAATGACCAGCAAACTGGACTTTAAATTTCACTCAAAACTGTAGACTCCATAAGAAATCCTGCCAAGCTCGACTTATCTCCCTGTGTAATTACAGCTTTTTAGTTCAGTGGGGTGTGATTAGCTCAAGCTGTAACTCATTTAGTGCACTATAATTACAGTGCAGTCAGCTTCGCAGTGGGTTCTGACCTAGAAAGGGTACATTCCTCGGGTTATTTTTAACAATCCATTGGCACTGCTTAGAGCTATTGCCAAGGCTCACAATGAAAACATCTGAAATTCAACAGGCACTTCGACAATCTCATTAGTAGATGCCAGTGTCAAAAGTGTCTGGATATTCCTGAGTATTTTGCACGTCACTATCATTTGTGTGTCCCTTTCTGTCATTTCAAGATTGTTTCTTCTTTTAGAAACTGGCAGCCATTAGAAGGAACCTAGCGTAAGTCGTAGGGTAGGCTTAGACTTAAACCTTTGCTCTTTTGGGCACAGAGATTTTGAGAAGGGTTAGAAAGAGTGAGTTGATTTTCTAAATACTAAATTTAAATAACTCATCTATTTCTGACTAGAATTACCAAAAAGACAAATATGCAGTAAAGGTTTTGAGTATGAAAGGCAGTCAAGGAATGCAAGTGGTGCAGAGAAAAAGTCTTGTGACGGAGAACTGCATCTTAGGATAATTAGAGCAACAGTTGCAAAATGAGTAGCCTCAAAAGAATAATAACAATAAAAAAAGGAACAAAACTCCCCAGTTTTCACTAAATTTTTTTATGATACTTGTGCATTACAGATGAGTGCAAAAGTTATGCTAGTAGTAAGGCCTTAAATCACTTCCTCCATGGATCTTGGATCTTCCTCCATTTTTGCAAATATAACTGAGAACATGCATACCAAACTTCTATTGCAGACTTTTCAGCTTAGACTGCATCAAAAGCATCCTTGCTTTGTATGAGGTGACACTGGGATTTAGTTATCAGATAATCAGCTCAGTATTTTGGGGGGTCCTGGCAGGGAAGAATAGAGATGAGCTCAGAGGAATAGCTACTTTTCTTATAGAGTAGTGCTGGGAGAAGGGGCTTGCTATGGAAATAACAAGCAGTTTATTCATAGTTGTGAGTTAACTTCACTCTTTTGTGTGCAGGACCGAGTTCTCTGACTCTCTCTGAAGTTCTCCTGTCACTTACACCTTACTGATCCGGCCTCTCAAATGCAAAGGCTACCAAGCCTCCTGCAGCCGAAGCATGGAGACCCTTGCTGCCTGCCAGATGACTACGCTGTCCCGGCACATTAACAGACTGCTGTTGGCAGCAGGTGATATCTGTGTGAACCGTGAATCACAAAGACAAGGCACAGAGCTTTGTCCCACAAAGAAACTGAAAGAAGGCGACCAGTTAAAGCTGCCAAGTGCTCTGAAAAAAGCTAAATTTCAAGGGGCCTTCAAGAGCGACTTTCCTTTAGGCTTTTTATGCCTGTGGGTCTTGTCCAGCATTCAGTGGCTAAAAAAAAATGATGCTGGCTAAAAGAGACAGGATGCAAGTGTAATCCTTCTAAAGCAACATTATTATAGATGCTGGCTGCAGGCAGGGCATTCGCTTACCATTCGTGATAAATAAACTCTTTACAGAAAGATCATGCTGTTCTTAGGTGTCCTGAAGAGCTGCATATTTTTTAACAAAACCTTTTACTGTTCTTCCCCAGAGCATTTGTTATTTGAGAAGGTTTTCCCAAGGAATAGTCCCAGGAGGTCTTTCTTAGTTTTCTGTACACATTATTAAAAACCCAAGTCTACCACTGTTTGTCATGCTGGGAAATCCTTACAATTCAACGGACTTGGCTTACAAAGAAAAAATATACATTAGCTCTTTCTTTTTGTCATGTCTACAGAAAGGAGACCTCCTTTTTCCTCTGTCACTCTTCTAAGCCATTATTTTACGAATTCAGTTCCCGAAACCAAGACAGAAAGCTCTGATTAGAGCAGCAGATACTTCTTCATGAAACACAGCCCAACTGATTTTATTGGAGTCCTGCAAACACTACTAAATAGAGAAGAAGAAATGTTTTCTTCTAAGCGGAGGGTAAAGGATATACCAAGAGCTAGTTACTGGAGCAACAATGTGCATTAATAGAAACAGTTTTAACCTGTTGGTAGATGCCGTTTCAAGGACATTTTTTAAAACTTACCTTTTTTTTCCCATAAACATATTTCGACTGCTACAATCAAGTTGCAAGTTAAAAAAAAAAGACCAAAAGCATTTTTGTTAGAATTCTAAAGACATATTCTTTAAGGAAAACTTGTTTAAATATAAACTGTGTCTACGTACAAGGTGTTACACTAAGGCCAGCAGAAGTTTCACCAGACTGAGAACAGTTTCTCAAATGGTTGGAACATTTCTAGAAAAGTCATTTCTCCAATCCAGCTACTGGGGAAAACTTAGGCAACTTTGACTCAGGTCTCTGATCTGGACAAATTTCCAAATTAAAATACCCTTCTCTGTCCTGATAAA